GTGTTCGTTTTTTGTTCCTTTAATGTTTGTACTTGCGACCATTTTACGTACTGTTGTCAATTTGTTTTTTTCTCATCTCTTCGATTGTTAGATTTACCTACTAGCCTTTATGATCCAAAATGACCCCTCATGTTGAAAAGCATATAGAGAATTCTCTCTTAAGTTCTGTAACTATATGTGTGTGTGTACATGTATATATCTGTATATATGTATGTGTGTGTGTATATATATATATATGTATGTATGTACATGTATGTATGTATATGTATATGTACATGTACATGTATACATATACATATATATATGTACATGTATGTATGTATATGTATATGTACATGTACATACATACATGTACATGTATACATATACATATACATATGTACATGTACATGTATACATGTATATGTATATGTATATGTGTGTATACATATGTGTGTGTGTGCATGTGCGTGTACGTGTACATGTATATATCTGTATACATATATGTGTATATATGTATGTATGTATATAGATATGTGTATGTGTGTGTGTGAGCAATATGGAGGAACTTGGTACCAAGCACAACTTTTTGTGCTTGGTAGTGAGGTAGCGCATTCTCATCTACTCATTCAAATGGGAGATCAAATTCACATGGGTTGGGGAGTGAATATGAATAGGTCACCTCACTGCCAAACATAAAATATGTAGCTAGTACCAAATTTCTATATTTCTCTCTCTATATATATACACATACAGTGGTATGCAATACGTGCGTTGCACGTGATGCATGTTAAGAAACCATATCAAATGAAACATTTGAAGGACAACTAAGATTGCACGTGGTAATCTTGTCATTTTTATGAAAAACACACTTTGCATAGAGCAGAGACTAACTACACAACATCAGTACAAACATCTTATTTATACATGAGTACCTACTATGAACATTACCTTCACAATTATCTTCAGTAAAAACGAACAAGCTAACAAATTTGACAAAAAATGCAACAACTTGAACAAAAAGATAAAAACTCAACACCCTAAATCACTAAATCTCTTAAATGAACAATTGAACTTCGTAGGCTACTATAATGTTTTCCCTTTTTTTTCTTTTTTTTCTCTTTTTAAAACTCATAGTAACAAAAGAAACATAACTAAATATCTTAGACATAATGCTATTTCAAATAATTTGTGACTAGGTTTTATCTTAATGTTTTTACCTTTCATCTCCTTAATTTCTTTTATTTATATCCTTTTTTAGGCTTGCCATACTCTTTCACTTTAGTGCTATATATCTTGTTGATATCATCAATTTTCATCACCTTCTATTGGTTTGAGTCTTCTATTGGCTTAAATCTTCTTGCAAGAATTAGATTTAGGATTAACTCACGTCTAAGATAGAATATTAACAATGTTATAACCGCACCATGTTGCACGAATCTTCTCCTTTCATACCTTTCATACTTTTCAATACCCAATTCTTAGCTGCGGAATCAGTCACTTTGTCCATCACTAAGAGAAATTGCTGAAGGAGGAGGAGAAGAGACGAGGCTGGAGATGAGACTAGCAGGCCATTTCAAAGAGCAACTAATAAAGGGCGTCTTTTTAACTCTTTTATCGCTATTTCATTACCTTTTTGTTGTAAAACAATGTATAAAGGCGATGAATTAGTGAGAGGGATGATGAAGGGTCAGGTTTTATTTATTGTTATTAACTTTCTAGGTTTAGTATCTAAGGGAGAGCCGGGGGAGGGGGGGGGTTGAAAATCGGGATAGGATGGGAAATTTGAAAATTGCAAGGGACAAAATAGGTATTCAAAAATTTTGACACTCATTTTGTCTTTTATGAATAGTATAAATATAGATATACATATAATTGTATATGTATGTATATACATGTATACATATATATGTATATACGTATATACATATATATATATATATATATATATATATATATATATATATATATATATATATATATATATATATATATATATACATATGTGTGTGTATATATATATATATGTATGTGTGTGTATATATACACACACATATATGTATACATATGTGTGTGTATATATATGTACATGTATGTATGTGTGTGTGTGTAGATATAGATATGAGAAAAATATAGGAACTTGGTACTAAACACAAGTTTTGTGCTTGGTGGTGAGGTGTTTTATTCTCATCCACACTCCAATCCATGTGAATGTGGTCTCCCATTTGACTGAATGGATGTGAATGAGCCACGTCACTATTAAGCACAAAAACTTGTGCTTGGTATCAAGTTCATCCATATTGCTCTATATATATATGTATGTATATGTACATGTATATATGTGTGTGTGTGTATCTGTGTATATATATATATATATAGCAATATGGATGAACTTGGTACTTAGCACAAGTTTTTATGCGTGGTAGTGAGATGACACATTCTTAGACACTCATTCAAATGGGGGACCACATTCACATGTGTTAGAGAGTGGATGAGAATGAGACACCTCACTACCAAGCACAAAATTTATGCTTGGTTCGAAGTTATATATATCTATATACACACTCACACACACATACATAAATACATATATAACATAGTTGGTGGTCAGAAAATTGATACGATAACATTACTTCCATCTACCATGTTTGGTTAAGAGTTAAGACTGTTATGAATGAACTTAGGTTTAGGTATATAAAGTTATAAACCTACTTCACGATTCAAAAATGATGCAAAGCAATATTATCTAAATGTTATCAATGCGACAATTAGGACTTAAGGATAATGAACCAGAGTATTCAGTTTGTATGTAATTGCGCGTGGATATGAAAGCAGTTCAATCAAGGTCATTACGTTAAAAGCAAGTATTTGGAAGACGTGCATCGTGCATGTTAAGCCAGCTATAAGAAAGCATATTTTACCTAAAAGGGAAGCGTCCTTTGACCTCATACCTCATTACTTTGTATCCATTTGCATTGCTTATTTCACAGTACCATGCATTTGTTTTGTTATCTAAGACACCCTAGCTCACTGAATAAGTTTATTATTCTTGTGCTACTACTTTTGAGTGCCAAAACAGCTTATTGCAATTGCAATCGGTGAGTGGGAGACTTGTTTATCGTCTCATTTCCCCTTAGACCCAGAGTTGAAAACTACTTGGAAAGCAATCTTGTTTATGAGGTTGAGATATTGACGTGATACATTTCAAGGGCTAATTGCACGTAGATCCCCTGTAGCATCATATTGTGCTCCGTATTACTCTGTAAGTTTGATATAGGCAGATATATTCCTGCCCGAGTGAGAGGTCAATTTGCCGAATAACAAGACGGGCATAAGCTAAGGGTAAAAGAGTCGCAACTTTTTCAATTAAGGAGTTTATCTGCTTACATCAAATTTAAGGGGTAACAAGTGTACAATGCAATACTACAGGGAGTCTATGTGCCATTAACCCTAATTTCAATGCCCTTGTCACATCTTAAAGTGTTTTGTTTCTTGTGTATTTCTCAACTGTTATTCTTTTTATTTTGTTTCCTATAGATTTTAGCGGCAATATGCTGTCTAACCTCGGCTTACTTTTCTTCTCCTGCAGTACTGCAAGCTACTCAAGTATGAAACCTCAAACAAGATGTACTTTGTGAAGGGGCAAAATGCTTCTCGAAACTGTATCTGCTTAATTTATCACTTCACAAGTGAATTCATTGTATACAAGGGGGAGAAACACCAATCAGAAAGCCAAATTGCGGCTTTTATGTGTAATTATGAAGCCCTCGAGTATAAGAGCATCATCTCTATGAAGCAATGAATTACCGCCGTCGTTTCTGATGTGATCTTGTGTTCGAGATCTTTGGTTTATTGTTCCTCTCACTGAAACTAGTGATATGGTGTCATTATGCCAGTAAAACCATTAGATACTATCAATGGCTGTGATGTAGCTTGAGTTAGTTTCTTGATGAGAGCAAGTCTCTTTTGTCATAAGCATGTTTTAAACTTGTATTCCTCTTTTTACAGGTCACGGATACCTAAATCATGGAATAGTAAAGATTTAAGCTTTATGTTTCATACTTGAATCTCAGTTATGAACTTCTTGGATACAGAAAATTTAGTATGGAATCAAGTTTGATGCTAAGGCTAGGGTAAGAATTGTGTGTAAAGATTAGTCTGAATGGAGGCTTGGTCCTTGGACAAGGTGGAATTGAATGGTTCTTTTGCAAAAACTTTGTCCCTTTTCTATTTGCTTTCAATCTTGAACCATGTTTATAATCAGCTAATCTATATTGGATGCTATATTTTTTTCCCCTAAGAATCTAAAGGTGTCTGTGATTTAATGAATTTAATCTTTAAATTTAGTGGTTTCAAGATTTTAGTCCCTTATATCTTCAATAGTTCATATTAGTCCCTCAAATGTTATAGGATCTTGCGAAATGGTCATTCAAGTTAAATCACATTAGAATTGGGGAAAATATTCTGTGAAATCTAATGGTTCGAGAAAAATGACATTTTTACCCATTTGTTATGTTCCCCAACCCATTTCTTAATGTGTTTAAACCCCTATACACACTTGAAGAAACCCTGACCCACTTAAGTTCTTCTTTCCAATGGTTAGAAAAAGAATCAGAGCCTAAATTTTAGCTTCACAAATGATTTGAATGATCAGAGTGACAGAAGGTTTTGTGATTGCAGATGCAGGGTTAGAAGTTAAACCAACCATCGTCCTATAGAATTTGAGGGACTAATATGCTTTCAAGATTTGAGGGGCTAACATGCAATTATATAAGATGCAAATGATTAATATCTAAAAACCCTTTAAATTTAACATAAACATAAACAAGGAATCGAATAAAAGAGTAAAAAAATTAGGAAGTGATTCCTTATGATCTGAGTATTGTCGAATCCGATTTATTTGGAAAACGGGCATACGGACCAATTGGCAGACCCGACCCGACCCAAGCATGTAGCACGTGAGTTTCACGTGCATGAGAATTTTCGCCTATAAAAGGTAAACGATAAGGGCTGAGGACCGACCACCGACTTTGACGATTCTCAAGTTTAGGGTTTTCGTTCTTCCCCAAATTCTCTCTCTCTCTCTCTCAAATCTCTTCAAATCTTTTTACTAGCTGATCGATCATGGCTATTGAATGCTTGAATCAAAGTACCCTTATCGATCACCGGCCGAGGAAAAGGCCAAGATGGGACGTCCAGCCCCAGGTAATTTTTAAAATCTGTTTCTTTGAAAATTTATGATCTTGGATTTTAGTAGTTCTTGATGATTCATCAATTGGATCTTGGGCCTGTTGCAATTCTTTGGTCGATTATTTTAGGATAACTGATTAGATTTATCCGGTCTATCTCGATCGTTGATATCAGGCCAATTTTACCCTAGTTCTTGATGATTCTTTGATTGGATCTGGGAAGGATCCGCTCTAATTTTTCGTTAGGGCCGGGCTGGGTTTCGTCGATCTGGCCAATGAATTTGATTCATCTAATTATGGTGTAAGAAAAACGCTTTGGATACGTAGCTCATCAACAAGAATTTGTTGAATCTGTTGATAAATAATTGTTTTAAGATGGGCTTGATTAGATCTGGAGTCTTGGAATGATAACCCTGATCCTTTCTCTTCGCAAGTTTAGATAAAAGTTTAATTTTTATATTGTTATAAAATATATCCTTGTAGATGTGGATGAAGACTACATTGTCTTGAACCCTGATCCTTTCTCTTCGCAGTTGACGCTCTTTTTCATCATAAATTTATGATATCATTCTTGTTCTGAGGTTATAATATGCTGGCCACAAACTTATTTTATAATTAGTTAATTGGTCTTCCATTATTGGTGGAAGTTAAAACGATGATGATGATTATCTTTACTGAGTGAAAAGAACAAATGGGTGGCTCTGTGTAGGCTCAGATAGGAATGTTATATGGGCAAGAAGTTGGACTTGGAGACTTGTCAAGCTTGGTATCATCGATGGCATCTTCTTTATACGCGAATGGATTGGCTCGAAATGCCTCCCCTCCTAGGAGAGGAGATGATAAAGACGGTCATTACATGTTTGCAATTGGAGATAATTTAACTTCTCGCTGTAATTATACTCGACCATTATTGTCTCAGAATCTTATTATATTTTTTATTTAGTCTTTTTGTCCGACTTCTATGTGACTTTTGCTCATGCGTCATGTATGTGTCATATATATTTATGTGCATACGAGGAACAGAGCAATGGCCTAATTGATTCAGAGTGAAAGTTGTGTTTGTTTTCACCTATGTTCTTTTAATAAATGATTTTCTTGCTGATTTTTTGTGTAAAATTCTCCTTCATATCAGTATAGTCTTATCATGTATTGACCAATCATAGAATAATTAAACTTTTTTATTAAATAGATGAGGTAGAGTTTTTAAGTTTTTACCAAGACAAAATGAAAAAAATCAACTGTTTAATTGTATGGCATCTTTAAACTTGGTTATGTTTTTTTGATTCAGTTAGGTTACTAGGCATTTCTGGTTTTCTTTTACATGAATATTTTGAAAATTATGGCCCATTCTTACTTCAAAAAGAGTTTTTCGACTGACTATGTAGATGCAGGTCTGGATAACACCTATTTTCTACATCATGGTTTTCTATAGAGTGTTTACACATATTGTTTACATGAATGGGTTCTTTGAATTTTCATGGATGCTATTGTTATCTTGTTACTTATTTTTTATTTTTCTTTCTTGCAGATAAAATCTACCGCAAAATGGGCGAAGGTTAGTTTTCAACATGTTAAATTGATTATTGTTTCAAGTCTTTCACATTATGTTAGCTAGTCAAGTTCTTAGTTTTATTTTTGTTGTGTGTAATGAGTAAAAAATTCATTGCGTGATTCCTTCTACTATATATGCCAGGTACCTTCGGACAGGTATTGGANATCAAGATTGTTCGTTCTGATGATAAATATCGTAAGGATGCTATGATTGAGATTGATGTCCTTCAGCGATTGAAGGAGCAAGACAACTCTGTTAGTCGGTGAGTCATTTTCTCTATTTGGACCTGGTTTATTTGTAATTTGTCATCATTCTTGTTGGAATAAGCTATAAATGCGTAAGCTACTTATTTTGCAGTTGTGTACAAATACGGAACTGGTTTGACTATCGTAATCATATCTGTATCGTAAGTATATAATTATTCTCGGTAAATTTCCCTACTTGACCCCAAGACCTTGTTTTAAGTCTGGGTGAATTCATCTCATCAGGTATTTGAGAAGCTTGGACCAAGCTTATATGATTTTCTACGGAAAAATGGCTATCGCCCATTTCCCACTGATCTAGTTCGTGAGCTTGGCAGACAACTCTTGGAATCCATCACATGTGTGTAAAACTATTTGCACAGCTTTTATCATTTTCAGTCTACACTCTCATGACCCTAGTATCCCCCCATTTGTTTTGGGGTTACAGTATTAAGCATAGCTTTTCAGCATCTGCGAATTTTATTTGCTCTAGTGAGCGATTAGGTTACCTGCATCTTAGTACTTTTCGCTGACATCTAGTTTCTTTGATTTGACTGTCCTTCGGTAGTTTAGACATGTCAATATTAGGTCATCTACTGTGCATTACTTTGTGCAAGATGTCCTGATGTACTTTTGCTGATCTGGTATAGTATGAGCAAGATGTTTATGGTGTTTATTTTTTTGTTCTCTCTTCCCCATCCTTGCAGTTATGCATGAATTGCATCTTATACATACCGACTTGAAGCCTGAGAACATTCTTTTCGTTTCTCCTGAGTACATAAAAGTATCCGACTACAAGGTACTTGGTGGGGTGGATGATTTATGTTCTGTTCGTTGATTGTTTATGTTGACTTTATCTAATTAAACAGAAAGATCTCTATGTTCAGTCTTGCTATTGAGATTATTATCTCATAAGTTCTTTAGCTTAATAAGTTCATGCTAGGGCTTGAAGTGTGCTGATTGTGTTTTAATGATTGATTGGTTAAGGTTGGCCACTCAGTAAGATTACCCAAATCTAGTGCTATCAAGGTAATTGATTTTGGCAGCACAACCTATGATAGCCAAGACCATAGTTATGTTGTATCTACAAGGCATTATCGGGCTCCTGAGGTTATTCTGGGTGGGTGATTTACGCTTGTTTATTATGTAGCTGTTAGTTTCCTGATTTTATTAAATCGCGGTGCTTTCTCCATAAAGATCAAAATGTAACTAATTCGAGTTATTATCAGGTCTTGGATGGAGTTATCCTTGTGATATATGGAGTGTGGGTTGTATACTCATGGAGCTTTGTTCGGTAAGTTCTAGACATATGTGTGTGTTTTGGATCATCCTTTATTTATTCCTTTATTTATTGAAGCATGAATTGCTGATGTATATGATATTTGGACAACTGCAGGGAGAGACATTGTTCCAGACCCATGAGAACTTAGAACACTTGGCCATGATGGAGAGGGTTTTAGGTTCATTGCCGCAACATTTGTTAAGGAGAGCAGAGTAAGTATCTTTGGTCTTTAACATGCTGTTGTTGAGATTTATCATGCTTTGAATTGTGGTATCAACAAAAACTTTAGCATGGACTGGGTGTTTTATTTAATTCTGATGCTTTTTTAAATATATTATTTTATTAGTCGACGTGCTGAGAAATACACCAGAAAAGGTCGATTAAATTGGCCAGAAGGTGCATCTTCCAGGGATAGCATTAAGGCCGTTTCAAAGTTAGCTCGCCTTCAGGTATAGTACACATTTTTTTTGTTATCTTCATCTTGCATGAAAGATGCGATGAAGTTTTTAATCAATCAGATGCGATGAATTAGGATTAATCCTTGGCTTCTTTTCCTCCAACTACAGAACTTGGTGATGAAACATGTTGACCACTCAGAGGGCGATCTTGTCGATTTGCTAAAAGGACTACTCAAGTATGAACCTTCCGAACGGTTGACTGCGCAAGAAGCTTTGCAGCACCCTTTCTTTACGAGGAAACACTAATCAGAAGGGATGAAATCTTGTTGATTCGTTGTCGCAGCTGTTTTGACCCCCCTTAACCTGTACACTAGCCGTATTGATTTCGAATTTGAGTTCTTTCATTGTATATATTGTGGGTTGAGATATATGAAGTTTTGCCTAACTTCATCCTTTTTGTATACAACTGTAACATGTTTCAATAAAGTCATACATCCGTTGGAAGTGTGTAGATGTATGGTGATGAGCGTAAGAATCTGGCTCAAGGCTGCTGAGGGTGCAGTTTTATTTATGAAATTTGCAAGTATCTATTGTTTGCGAAAATGCCGTGGTCAGTGTGATTATAATTTATATACGTGTTAAAGTATTTTTGCACTCATAATATTTAATTGCTGCTGAACGTAAAATTTTTGCAAACGTGGGTTTTAGTTTATTTTCCATTAGGGGTAATCTCCTCTAAGAAAAGATTAGAAGCGCCAATCTTTTATTTCTCGTTCTTTTTGGTAAATGTCAAATAATCTTAACTTCTCTAACATATTTCATGTCATACTTTATTATATTTTCAATTGATTTGATTCCTGCTTAGGAAACGAGCCGTTAGATATTTACTTAGAAGCGCTAAGTATGCAAGAACATTAACTAAAATTTTAAAATAAAACCCCGTTTTATTAGCCTCCCTTTCTCTACACGTACACATAAACCTTGAAAATATTGTGTGAGGCTCATAGCGTTGAATGTGTCCTAACGCTGGCACGTTGGCCATCACTTTTCTGTCCTAATCAAAAAAACGTTCTTATGTTGCCATGAACTCAATGGACATATATCTCAATTATTCCACAATATTGTGTGAGACTCATAGTGTTGAATGTGACGACGGAGTAGATCGAGTCCATGACATTGCTGCCGCCTCGAGGTTTTCTTCGAGCTGCTGCCGCCATCGTTGGGATTTTAGAGAGAATGAGAGACGAGAGAGAAAACGGGAATACAGGATAGCGAGGGTTTTCACCTGGGCGGGTTTAAAGCGGGCGCGATGCCCGCCCATTAAATGTCAGCAGCCTCAGCCGCCCACATGCTAAATTATCCAGCCACCAACTTTGAAAATGGAAAATAAAACAAAATGGTGGGGCCCATTGCTACAGTAAAATATTAATATTTTATTATGCATAGTGTTTTTCAAAATCCTATAATATAGGCTCCAAATCCTTAAGGAAATCTCATCCCAGAAACAACTTCTTATATAGAAGAGTGAGAGAGAAAAAATAGAGAGAGTTTCTCCTTAAAAAAAGAGAGTTTGTAACTCCAGAGTTTTCTCCTTATAGTAGATTCTTCTATCCTTGCCCGTGGACATAGGCAATCAAGTGCCGAATCACGTAAATCTGTGTGTCTAATTTTTTATCTCTACTTTTGCTCTACTATTGCTGCGACCCTGCTCTATTGGGCCCCGGGTTTGTCCCAACAAGTGGTATCAGAGCCAACTTAGGATACTTGTATATATCTACTTATCGTATGCTCTGTGGCTACCACCAAAGGTGGATCCTCCACATCAGAAAATAAGTTAGGTTATCATTTACCCTTTGAAGGTGTCGGGTACTATTCACGAGTACGGTACTGTTCAAAATACGGTACTATTCACAAGTACGGTACTATTCACCAATACGGTTACTGTTCATAAATACAGTACTATTTACGTGAAATAGTAAAAAGTTACTGTTCGTGGTAGAAGCAATGGCGGCGAAGTTCAAGATCGAGAAATTCGACGGGAGTAATTTCTCACTGTGGAAGTTGAAGATAAAGGATATCTTGAAAAAAGATAATTGCCTGGCGGCCATTGGTGCAAGGCCGGACGACATCACAGATGATAAGAAGTGGAACGAGATGGACGAAAATGCTATTGCAAATCTCCATCTGGCATTAGCAGACGGGGTGCTGTCAAGCATAGAGGAGAAGAAGACAGCAAAGGAGATCTGGGATACTCTAACAAAGCTATATGAAGCAAAATCCATGCATAATAAAATCTTCTTAAAAAGGAGACTTTACACTCTTAGGATGGCGGAATCTACATCGATGACCGACCACATCAACACCCTAAACACACTGTTCTCCCAACTCACAACGTTGGGGTATATAGTTGGTGCGAATGAACGTGCAGAACTTCTACTTCAGAGACTACCTGACTCGTATGATCAACTCATCATCAACTTGACAAACAACGTCCTCACGGACTATCTAGTTTTCGACGATGTTGCAGCCACTGTTCTGGAGGAAGAAAATCGGCGCAAGAACAAGGAAGACAGGCAGTCAAGTTCGCCGCAAGCGGAGGCCTTGTCGGTGACGAGAGGAAGATCAACGGAACGAGGCTCCAGTGGGAGTCATGCCCATGGTAGATCGAAATCACGAAGTAAGAAGAATATCAAATGCTACAACTGTGGCAAAAGAAGACACGTCAAATCGGAGTGTTGGCACAATAAGAAGAGTGGAGATAAAAAGTCTTCAGAGCCATCAACATCTCAAGGATGCGTTGTCAGCACGTCAGATGATGGTGAAATTCTATTTAGTGGAGCAACCACTGTTGATGAAGGCAGAAAGAAGTTTGCTGATGTCTGGCTTCTAGATTCAGCAGCCTCTTGGCACATGACCTCTCGGAGAGAATGGTTTCACAAATATGAACCTATCTCAGGAGGATCTGTATTCATGGGGAATGATCATGCCTTGGAAATTTGTGGTATTGGTACTATCAAAATTAAAATGTTTGATGGTATAATATGCACCATTCAAGATGTGCGACATGTGAAGGGCTTGAAGAAGAATCTATTGTCTTTTGGACAATTAGATGAGCTCGGGTGCAAGACTCATATAAAAAAGGGAATCATGAAGATTGTTAGAGGGGCGCTTGTGGTGATAAAAGGAGAAAAGATAGCTGTAAATCTGTACATGCTCAAGGGAGAAACCATGCAGGAAGCTGATTCATGTGTGGCATCAACCAGTCGTGGAGAAGAACAAACCATGATGTGGCATCACAAACTAGGCCACATGTCAGAACGAGGCTTGAAGGTTCTCTCCGATCAGAAGCTGCTTCCTGGACTTAATTCAGTAGCTCTTCCATTCTGCGAGCATTGTGTTACAAGCAAACAGCATCGACTGAAGTTCAACACATCAAGTTCTAGAAGCAAGGCTATTCTGGAACTGGTTCATTCTGATGTATGGCAAGCACCAGTTACATCCTTAGGAGGAGCAAAGTATTTTGTGTCCTTTATTGATGATTACTCCAGGAGATGTTGGGTGTATCCTATCAAGAAGAAGGTGGATGTGTTCTCAGTCTTTAAAGCCTACAAAGCACGGGTCGAGCTTGAATCTGAGAAAAAGATCAAGTGCTTGAGGTCAGATAATGGAGGAGAATACACAGACGGTGAATTCCTAGCATTCTGCAAGCATAAATGCATCAAAAGACAATTCAGCACTACTTATACTCCTCAACAAAATAGAGTGGCAGAGCGGATGAACAGAACTCTGTTGGAAAGAACAAGAGCTATGTTGGCGACTGCAAATCTGGATAAAGTCTTTTGGGCGGAAGCAGTAAAAACCACCTGTTATGTGGTGAATCGATCTCCATCAACTACAATACAATTGAAGACGCCGATGAAAATGTGGACTGGCAAACCAGCTGACTATTCAAACCTCCATATATTTGGAAATCCAGTGTACGTAATGTACAATGCCCAAGAAATTACAAAGTAAGATTCAAAATTCAGAAAATGCATATTTTTGGGGTATGCTGATGGAGTAAAGGGGTATCGCCTGTGGGATCCCACTGCCCACAAGGTTAGCATCAGCAGAGATGTTATCTTTGTATAGAACCAACTACAAAGTGAAGAGAAAGAAAGCAGTTCGAGGAAGGACTCAGAGACTGTAGCTGTTCAGGTAGAAGATGATCTGAATTCTTCTGAAGTAACACCGGAGCATGATGTACAAGAACCAGTCGAGTCTGAGGCACCAGAAGTTCGAAGGTCAACTCGTGAGAGAAGACCACCGACTTGGCACTCGGAGTATATTACGGAAAGTAATGTTGCATACTGTCTTCTAAGAGAGGATGGAGAGCCATCAACTTTTTATGAAGCTATAAATGACACAGATGCATCTTTGTGGATGGCAGCAATGCAGGAAGAAATTGAAGCTCTCCATAAGAACAAGACTTGGGAACTTGTTCACTGCCACAAGGAAGAAAGACCATTAGAAACAAATGGGTCTACAAGATCAAGCGAAATGGCGATGATCAAGTGGAGCGATATCGTGCTAGATTGGTGGTAAAAGGATATGCTCAGAAAGAAGATATTGATTTTAATAAAATATTTTCTCCTGTAGTTCGACTTACAACAGTCCGAATTGTCCTGGCTATGAGCGCTATATTTGACTTACATCTAGAACAGCTAGATGTGAAAATAACATTTCTTCATGGAGATCTTGAAGAAGAAATTTACATGCTCCAACCAGAAAGTTTTGAAGAAAAAGAAAAGGAGAACTTGGTTTGCAGATTGAACAAATCTCTGTACGGTCTAAAACAGGCGCCGAGGTGTTGGTATAAGAGATTTGATTCATTCATCATGAGCCTTGGATACAACAGACTTAATTCAGACCCTTGTGCATATTTCAAGAGGTTTGATAAAAATAACTTTGTTATCTTATTGTTGTATGTTGACGACATGTTGGTTGCAGGCCCCAACAAAGATCGTATCAAAGAATTAAAGGCTCAGTTGGCTAGGGAATTTGAAATGAAGGATTTAGGATCTGCAAACAAGATTCTAGGGATGCAAATTTACCGAGACAGAGTTAATAGGAAGATTTGGCTTTCTTAGAAGAACTATTTGAAGAAAATCTTGCGACGCTTTAACATGCAAGATTGTAAGTCAATTTCCACCCCACTTCCTGTTAATTTCAAGTTATCCTCTAGTATGAGTTCTAACAGTGAAGAAGAGAGGATGGAGATGTCTCGAGTGCCATATGCATCAGCAGTGGGAAACTTAATGTTCGCGATGATTTGTACAAGACCAGACATTGCACAAGCAGTGGGAGTGGTTAGTCGATACATGACGAATCTTGGTGATCGTGATAATAGCAAATCCACCACAGGCTATGTGTTTGCACTTGCTGGCGGAGCTGTAAGCTGAGTTTTAAAACTGCAGTCAATTGTGGCTACTTCAACAACAGAAGCAGAATATGTAGCAGCTACACAAGCTAGT